TGAGTAGCCCGGATGAAATAGACGACTACTTTGTAAGTGTGGTTGGTAATATTGCGAGTGAGCTAACTCCTGCAGATGGCCATTTTGTATTAGATCCAAAGCCCAATGTGACAATTAAAACCCGCTTGACAAGGTGGAAAAACGTTACTCCGGCAGAAGTATTATCACTTGTTGCTAAATTTCACCCTAAAGCAAGCAAAGATGTATTTGGTATCAGTGTAAACATAGTCAAAAATACGATTAAGGATTTCGTAGGTCCGCTGACTCATGTGATAAATTCTTGTCTTGATCAGGGTTGTTTTCCGGATAGGCTGAAGGTTGCCAGGGTTGCCCCTGTGTATAAAAAAGGGGATCGTGAACAGGCCAACTAGTCCTACTAGACCTGAGCAAAGCGTTTGATGTGGTGTCTCACGAAGTTCTTCTGCCAAACTTGAAGCCTATGGAGTGGAAGGTACTGTGCTTGCTACATTTTCTTCTTACCTTAGGAATCGAAGACAGGTGGTTGCAATTGATGGGGCTCTTTCGGGAGAACGCAGGGTGGAACACGGTGTCCCGCAGGGCTCGCTACTTGGACCTCTCCTGTTCCTGCTAATGGTGAACGACTTTAAGTGTGGTGACGAGGCTCTCATGTATGCGGACTATACCACCCTTGTATTAGGTGGATGCTCGGTGACGGAAATTGAGAGAAAGATGGCCTTGGAGCTGACCTCCGCCGAGAAATGGTTCAAGACCAATAGACTTCAGCTAAATGTCAACAAGACCCAAACACTCATCTGCACCTTGGGCAGAACTCCGCCTGCGAACATCGTACCTCAAGTAAAACTTCTTGGATTTTTTATTGATACACGGCTTAACTGGCAGAGTCATACGGAAGAGATGTCAAAAAACCTCTCAAGGGTAGTATCTCTACTTCGCAAATTGAAGAACAGCCTGACTGAATCCTATCTCTTGACCATCTACTACGGCCTTTTCCACAGCCATTTGAGTTACGGCATACTGCTCTGGGGCCACTCCCCAAGCTGTAAGGCAGTGCTGAGGTTGCAGAAGGCGGCCATCCGAGTCATCACTTCTAGTGACCGGCGTGAGCACAGCAAACCCATCTTTAGGAGATTAGGCGTGCCCAGTCTACTCGATGTATATCTTATCCTCATTGGTACATGTCAAGAAGAACTTGAACGCGCTTACAACCAGAGGCGATGTCCACTACCACGCCACACGTGGCTCTACTAAGTTAGATATACAGAGAACACGCCTAATAAGCACACAACGCCGTTTCCCTGCCATGGCAATGAAGCTGTTCAACAAGCTGCCGGAGAACTTGAGAAACCTTGAGACCAAGAAGTTTGAAAGAAAAATGAAAGACCAACTTATTCAGTCGGCCTATTTCTCCATCAAGGATTTCCTTGAGGATAATCTAGCGAGTAACTGACTCAAAACCCTACTTCAACCACCAAGTTTGTGAGTTGACATATTTGTACATAATATTATTTTTTTTCTTTTGAAAATGACAAGAACATTTTATTTGCTATTTGATATAATATTAAGAAAACTGACGCAGTTAATCCAGTAAACCTGGTCAAAAACGAAGAGATGGTATTCAGATGGTAGCCTAGTTACATTAGACTATAACTTACTAAAATATTTGCTAACTTATAACCTACCAGAGAGTCGAAGAAATACAATTTAGGCTTCACAAGTGAGTCTTAATTTAGTCTTGCAAAAGCCATTTTAGTTATACGTAAGTTATTTAAGATCCACTACTAACCAATAGCCTACATGCCTGTTAACTTAATTCCCTAAGCATTAAATGATCATGGTAGACTAAATAGGTTATCAGTTAGATGTCCACAGTGAAGCCTAGCCTAGGCCCTCTCTGATACTACCTTGTCTGGACAAAAATTTAGAGAAACTAACTATGTAATGCTTCTATAGGCTATGTCTAACCCACGAATACAGTACTAACTTAACCCTAGCAGTGGCCAATGGTCCCGGCGGGACCATTTCACCGTGCACCCTTAGAATGGCCATGGTCCCGCCGGGACCATTTATGTCCAAACATTTTTAACGTTAAAAACTAATTGATAATTATCTTTAAAGTGGATAATTCATATACCATTCGAAAGATGACATTCTAAACTTTCATTTTATTATATAAACGAACCTTCTAGCGTCAATATGTCAACGTAATTGCAATTTAAATTTGAATGAAAATTTCCGCGCGAATCTACTTCCACTTGTAGGGTTGCGTAACCGCTAAACACATAAAGTTTAGAAAATCATAGCGAGGTTAGTTTTTTCCCTATCTGGATGCGAGTTATACCACTAGATAGCAGTAGAGTTGCTGAATATTTTGGCATAGATTATTTTATCAATACATTGATAGCAAAGAACATATGATTTTTAGAAAACACGTAATTTTACAAAAATTAACAAATGGCCAATGGTCCCGCCAGGACCATTTCTAAAGTCGAAATATATATATAATGGAATATTTATAACTATTCAAATATAATATCCTTTTGTAGTGTAGGAAACGTAGAATAATTTAGTGTTGAGAAATGGCAGCCCTGATCACTGTATAATTTCTGTGTTCTGTCAGCAACAAAAGAAAATTGCCATCTGACCAAGTTACAGTACTCTGCTTGTTTTGTGCGGATCAGCTGACTTACGTTTTGAAAGTAAATATTGTTCAGCGAATATCTTGGGAATCATTCTAATTTCGGATTTTGTAGTTATGTAGTGTTTTTTGTTAGTAATGTTTTTGTGTTTTAGGACTAACAGTAATCTTTATGCATGAGTATAAGCCTACTGGAAAGTCTAATATCTGAATTTCTTTTTACATAAACGGCAAATCTTTAGTTTTTTTGTATCATAAACGGGTAATCAAAAATTTTTTACTGCCTACAATGTGACATATTTGTATTCCTTAGTTTATAACTTACAAGAATATGTGTACTATATTACTATCACTAATCACTAATTACCTTACATGAGCTATCTCCGAGTTACTAATTATTCGTCTTACGTGACAAACCTTGCGATTTTTCGTATTTTCTTACATAACACATGTAAATAAAAATATTTTCCCCATGTGTTATACATTTCTATAAAGAGAATTGAATGTACTATAACATTTTTATAATATGTTTGGCCTACAAAAATCTGTACAAAATTTTTTTTCAAAAATGTCTTTGAATTTTTTTCTATGTAAACTGTAAATTTTTAGTTTTTTGTATCATAAACGGGTAATCAAAATTTTTTTACTGCCTACAATGTGACATATTTGTATTCCTTAGTTTATAACCTACAAGAATATGTGTACTATATTATTATCACTAATTACCTTACATGAGTTATCTCCGAGTTACTAATTATTCGTCTTATGCGACAAAATTTGAATTTTCTTCATTTTCTTACATAACATTTGTAAAAAAAAATATTTCTCCCATGTGTTATACATTTCTATGTAGGGAATTTAATTTACTACAAAATGTATATAATGGTTTTGGTCTGAAAATTATACTGTAGTAATAACAAGACTTTACTTTTGAAATTTCAATCAAATTTTTTGAATTTTTTTTATTTTTCAAAAAAGTTACCAACTCAGATTCAATTTTTATTTATATATTCAGATTCTCCTGCTTTTTCTGAATAAAATGAATACAAACATTGATAGGTTGAGTCCATATTTGTAATTTTGACAGATTTTTAAAAAAAGGTCTGCAAAATCGCCAAAATGGGTTGGCCATTCCCCACTTCTAACATTGGCCACTGCTAGGGTTAACTTAGAACAGGAACAGGCCAATGGTAGGCTTTAAACGAACAGACACGATATGGATCATAAACTTAATGTCTATAATAATGCTGTTAAGTTAAGACAATAGGCCAGTAGCACGAATACTTTCGTGAGGGTCATTTTGTTGTTCAATTATTACTTTAAAAAATACATTTAAATTTATCTGTGTTCAACTTTATGAAGGGATTAATTGACGCAATCTTTATGTCTGTTACTTTCAGATCTATGTTGGCTAAATTTATAAAGACAATGCCTAGATCAAACTACAAAATAGGCTTACTTAATAAGTTAATAAATACGTGGGCAATTTGACAATAAGATTAGAACGGAAATCTGAGCTGGTTCTTTAATCTGTAGTTTTTAGTTTTTGTTACCAAAATCAAACTTACGTATTGTTTCTGATAAAACTCGATTCTTCAAATGATTTACAGAAATAATAATTAACTTAGCATATTTTGTGTCTACTGTACAAGTGGAACAACAGACTACTTGATTACACATTACACAACAGTACTTAACTTACTTGTCTGGGGCCCATTTCATAATAAACTACAAGTTACAAGTTACAACTTGTAACTTGTAATTTCCATTAGATTTGCATTGGACGATCAGCTGATTTACTAATAATATTAGTTTGTACTTTATTATGAAATGGGCCCCAGTCTGCACTCTGCATTCTGCAAGTGCAAAGTGTATTAAAACTGATTAAAAGTGCGTGTCGGATGTCGGCGTCGGCTGCTTCCAATCCAAACAAAATGTAAACAACACAGTCACGTGACACAGCACCACTTGCGACGTTGCCAGTTCGATGGCCGCGGCCTGTAGTTAAAGGCGGCCGTGGGTCACCCCTTCACCCCCCTCTGGATCCGCCACTAACTCCAGGCCGTGGCCTGATAGAATTGGCAACCATTCCAACCAATAGTAATCTATGGCTATATTAAGTCAAGTTTTAAAGATTTTTTCCTCTTTCAATTTTATTTGTAAATATTAAATAACAGTTTTTGTTGATATTGCATTTTATTACATTCATGACCAAAACAGTCATTCATGATGATAAAAATATGAGAAACGATGTTTGATTATAATGCCTGATGTCTATATAACACTGCCTCCGAAGTTTCGAACTAACCGTTGAAGGTCATTGCCAATAATTTAGAAATTTATCAAGCTGGCCTGTCTGTCTACCCCCGTTTCGTTTCCAAGATGGTGGTAGTTTTGTAACTGTGTAGGTGAAGTGTTACCTCAACATTCCCCACTGAGACTAAATTAGTCTTGGTACGCTTCTGTAGAAATTTTAATTCACTCCGCAATTTAGTTAACAGTGAAATCAATAGTTTATCAAGATGATTATGGAGCCTGTACAGGTAAGAGAATATTTTTCAGAACAGTGAATGGGTGTGTTCTCGTTTTGTAATTTTACCTAACTACCCTACTTGTATAGTACTTTCTCATTCTTTATTTGTTCACCATTTCAATTGCTAAATTCATTAAATTATTACTCCCGATTGGGCCCACTATTAAGGCCCTAAATTTTCTCTTCAGCCTAAAGTGAAAACTACCTCTAATTTAAAGACTACATTAAGCATCTGGCTTTTTTGCTTCCCCTTCCTATCGTTGATGTTAAATCCATAAAATGCTTCAAGCTGTTGTTTGTTGTTGTTGGCCTACTAACGTGTTTGTCAAACATACATTCCATTAAGACATTGTGTTGAATGGAATACCTAGGCTATTATTGTTAAAAATATAGGCTCAAACATGGACACAACATACCTAGGCCTATATATTGGCCTGTACTTATGCTAAACAATGGCCAAGCCAACAAAAATATTCTCTTTTTATAAGTTATGCCATTATAAATTAGGCCTACAGTATTTTTATCGTTAATTTTGAGGCATGCTGTTGTTAGCACCTAAATAATTTTATCTTGCTGGATTTGTTGAAAACAATAAATTTTCCTAAGTTGGTTGGACAGTTCTACACTTAACCCTCCGAGCGTCGAGAGTCTACGCATAGACGAACAAAACCCCCTGTGGGGCGTCGAGCATCTACGCGTAGACGAACACGCAGTGTTCCGTTCAATTTGCATTCAAATAGGCAATTCTAAATTCAATTCGACGCAATGGGACAACTGATTGATATTGGTATCACCGTTTACGGCAGAAGTTGGGCTTTCTCCCAATGTCTGTCTCGAGCCACTAAACTGTATGTAGTGATCGTAGCGCAGCTGTAAACTTTGTCAATGTTTTGTTTGTTGACAGTTGCTTGTTTACTAACACTTGCTTGTAAATGGTGGATTGTTGTTTTAGATGTCGTGTTAATTTCTAAATATGGATAGTATAGTGACATTCGTGATTGTTTATTTGAGAGTGGTGATGAGTTAAATGATCCTGATGAAGTGGACATAGACAGTGATTTAGAAATAAATGAACCTCCAACATCAGATTCAGACTAGCCTGTATTAAGTTAGTCTATTATCAGATTCTGACCATAAACATGGCGCAGAAATCACTTTTACACCTATAACTTTTTGTTACTATACTTTATCTAACTTATAATAATGTTTATATATTTGTAATCTACATAAAATTTCAGACAATGTGGCTATCTTCAAATAGTTGTAGGCCTAGAAATATTTTATTTTGACTTAGCGCGAAGCTAAAAGTTTTTTTAGATTCTTTATATTTTGATTTTTTTGTGTATCATTTATAATTTTTTTTTATTTTTTTTTGCAAATAGGCCTAACGCCTACATTATTGTAGCCCATGAACCTGTGAACAAAATTATATACAAAACATCATAGTTTCTGACATTTAAATAGGCTCTAGGTTATGTTTAATGAAATCCTGCAAATCAGTAAAAAACAGCTTGACGCCAAGGCGTTTTTGCTTGATGCTTGGAGGGTTAAGATTAGGTATGCTATTTTGCACAGCTAACTTATTAAGTTCGCAGAGGATACGCGTCCGGTAACCGTACGTCGATTAGGCGTACGGTAATGGCGTCACCATGTTGTGGAGGTGAAGTATGACGTCACTAGGTTCCGGAAGCTTGTTAGACGTACGGTAACTGGCGTGACGTGACGGACGCCTGTTAAACGTACGGTAACTGGTGTGGCGTGACGGACGCCTGTTAAACGTACGGTAACTGGCGCGGCGTGACAGACGCCTGTTAGACGTACGGCAACTACCGCGACGTGAACCCCCAAAAACCCATAAAATAACGGAACAATTGTGGCACGAACGATTTTGATAAAAATGTAGTATGTTGTAGCCCTTTAAATTTTAAACAAAATGGTATGACTCCCATTTCTGTAAAAATTACGGTTCAAAAGTTATTGTAAATTATGTTATTTTCCCTTAAAATCTCTATAAAATAACGAAAAATAGGATTTTAGGGAAAAGCCGGTTTTGATTCAATTTAACTTAGTATGTCATGCATGACCCTTAAAATTTTGAACGTTTTTTAAATTTTGATTTTTAATGGGTAATTTTCCACAAAACCTCATGAAATAACTCCTCATAATAGGAGTTTCTAAAAATTACTCGAATGATACAGTCCTTTGAATTTTGAACAGATTGGTACAAATCCCATTTCCGTAAAAATTACGGTTAAAAACTTATTGTACCAAACACAAAATAACAACATAAAATCGGGTTTTCGGTGAAAAGATGGTTTTGATCAAAATTAATGTAATGGTCCTTATAATTCTAAAGAAATAGTAGAACCCATTGCTGTAACAATTACGGTTTAAAAGTAATTGTAACTTTTGTGGTTTTTAACTATAAAATGTCATATTTTACTCTCACCGCTTACCCATGATAAAGGTTGGTGCCGAGCTTATTGAAGAAAGTGTGTCAGGAATGCTGATACCATTTATTATAAATAGGAATATCATGAATTCGTTGTTTTCGGACCATGTAATATTATAACAACAACAAAATTGAAAGCCTATCCATTAGTAGTTTATCACTGATTTATATCTGAATCGTTTAGCATAGATAAATAATTACCTCATAGTAATGTGAAATTAGGCTTTGTTATGTTGTAATTACAACAAGCACTAGGCAGTAGGTATGATTGCAGTACCTATAGAGAAGTGATAAGATAACTTTCTGATTACAAATAAAGCTTTGAAGATAAGTTTATCAGTATAATCTAATTTGCAAAAAGAGTCTAACTAGTTATAAGGTTTAGGAGTAACACAATTATTTCATTCAAGACTAATAACATGAACCTTTTTTAATGAACACATATATTATAAAATATAGGTAACAGCAACACAAATTAATAGCCTTCAATTAAACCACTCAACTGTTAAGGCACAACCAGTCTAATATCAGTCTAAATAGTTCTAATCAGTGTAGGCTATCATGAACATTTTTTAATAAACAAATATATTATACAATATAGGTAACAACAACAAAAATTAATAGCCTTCAATCAAACGACTCAACTGTTAAGGCTCAAACAGTCCAAATAGTTCTAAGGTTTAGGAATAACACAATTATTTAAATGTAGGCTAGTATTAACCCAGGGCCGGCTTGAGGGCGGGGCAGGGGGGCTAGTCCCGAGACATGATAGGTCTCCGAAGGGGGCCCGGCCCGGTCTAATGTAACATTTTAACTGTACATGGAATCTACTAATGTCAAAAATTTTAGGATAGTTTTTTTAATTCAAGTAATTTTTAGACTTTGGATTGTGTAATTCAAGTCTTGACTTATTATTTTTCTTTTTACTTGAATAAAGTTGCAACTGTGAGCACGTAGATTAATAAATCTAAAATTTATTTCAAACTAAAATTTTAACAAGCATTTAAGTTAAACAAAAAGGTGTTTTACATAGGTATTGTTTGTAACAAAATGCAACCCAGGAGCCCCTGACGGCTCTCGCCATGCCTGCATGAACCTTTTTTAAATAACACATATATTATAAAATATAGGTAACAGCAAACACAAATTAATAGCCTTCAATTAAACCACCTAACTGTTATGGCACGATCTACAAAACCAGTTTCTGGATTTGGGTCCAGTAGTACCAAGACCAGAACAGGTCATATGGTACCAAGATAGACAACTATTACAACATACACTATTAGTGGATGAGTCTTTTTGGCAAAGCGGACACAGCCAAATTGGGTCTTTTTTCTTTACACTCATTATATCTTCGATCAATTTCCAACCAGCACCATCAAAATATTTCCGAATACATAGAACGTCCGCTAGTGGGTCCACGCAGCTGGAAGAAACTTTATTAGGATTGGCCTCGATGTCAGTCTCTTGTAGCAGAGTCCCCTCCACAGCAAGCCTCGCCTTCTCAGGTTTAACAAACCACATCAACATTTGTAATTCTTTTTTATGAGATGGTTTTTTTTTGAAAGGGAGAGTTCTGTTTGTTTTTGTTTTTTTTTTAGGCAATCCAATTACTGTTAAATCACTCCCTTTAGGCCTTCCTCTCTTTTTGAATTTTGGGGGCATGATGGGAAATTTGTCAGGAAATAGTGTAGCAAGATTGGTGGGGTTTGGTGGGAGATTGGTGGGAGAATAATTGGCAGGATTGGTGGGACTAGTATTATTTTCTTCCACAACTGTGATGGTTTGAACTTCTTCCGTTTCTACTTCTTCCCATCCTACTTCTACCGTTTCTACTTCTACCGTTTCTACTTCTTCCGTTTCCACTTCTTCCGTTTCCACTTCTTCCGTTTCCACTCCTTCTATTTCTAGTTCTTCCCAACCTACTTCTACCGTTTCTACTTCTTTGGTTTCTACTTCTTTGGTTTCTACTTCTTCCGTTTCCACTTCTTCTGTTTCCACTTCTTCCATTTGTAGTTCTTCCCAACCTACTTCTACCGTTCCTACTTCTTTGGTTTCTACTGCTTTGGTTTCTACTGTTTTGGTTTCTACTTCTTCCGTTTCCACTTTTTCCGTTTCCACTTCTTCCATTTCTAGTTCTTCCCAACCTACTTCTACTGTTTCTACTTCTTTAGTGGTGTCTTCTTGAGACAATATCTGTAAAAATTACAGAATAATAATACATTTACATTTCCCTTTCAATATTAAGTAAAGCGGTCAAGTATGTACAGATGCACACTCTGAGGGTCTCTAGGATTATGAAAAGGTTGAGAGGGGCTTAAAATATAAAACTACAATTTTTGAAATAAGAATGTATAAAGATAACGGCAGATGATACGCGTCTGGTACCCGGACGTGGATTAGGCATCCGGCAGTTACTATAACCTAATCTAACCAAACTTGCTGATAATGAAAAAATCGAATAACGGTAAAATTGTATTCAAAATAAAATTATTAATCCCTCAAATTCAAACAAATTATGTACAATTAAGAAGAAATCGCATTCTAAGCAAAATCTA